AGAGCTCAAAAGGATAAATCTGTGTGGTTTAGGAAAGAGAAGGGATGAGATAATGTCTGGAAATTAATTAAAGCAGAGAAGTGACTGGGTAAACTGGGAGGATGAACATAAATCAAGCAAGAAACGTGTTCAGAATTAACTCGGAGGACAAGGGCAGGGAAGAATTTTGCTGTCACAGTTATGGCAGTAACACTGCCCTATACCTAGTTTTACACCCATTCAATCCCAAACATCTCAGCAGMCATGGCTTTTTCACAGAACCTGACTGCCTTGCCCAAATGAGGAACAACTTCATAAAAAGGTAAAGTTTCTGAAGGTCATATTCTGTCAAGTTTTGAAGATTTTTTTCCTCACAAAAAATTCTTTTGTCAAATTTGTTTATTTCCACTCTTCAAAGTGAGCAAGAGCTGGCAGCAGTATATCATGCCAGGATAGTTATGGCTTTACCTGGTATGAAATACCAGCAAAACTTTGCCAGTGATAAAGTTCCCAGGGCTCACCACCTGGAAGGAATTTATTGGCATATTTCATAGACAAAGAGAAGCACTGAATTTTCAGATAGTTTTAATTTGCTTTTGCTCACACACCCTCTTCAGATCAGAAAATCCCTCCTAGTAAGTTCTCCAGGGTGGCTGTGGGGCACTATCCCAGCTGCAGGATGCCCATCTCTCTCTGTTTGTAAATTAATTAACACTATTAATGTTTCTTCACATCAAAGATTCAGGACCCTGACAAAAAATCTGTAGGACCAGCTGATAYAAAAGAAGATCCCAATAGATATGGYCATTTTTCAATYATTTATTTGCTTATTGCTCATAGTGGAAGAAACTTTGTGTTCAGATGGCTCCAGACATTCTTGGGGGTTAGGGTTCTTAAGAAAGATTAGGTAGAAATCAAAATTACTGTAGAAGAGAGAATTAAAAAGTCACAGAGTGAATGGCAATGAATGACTAAAACTGATAAGAACATAGGAGTTCTAGGATATCTCTAGACTGGAAGAGCTAAGATCACAGCAGCGATGGCTAATGWGACATTTAAAATTACTGGAAAGTTAAACAGGGGTAAACATGAGGGCAGTTTTAAAAATTTGCTCCAAAGCTGATCTGAGTAACTACAGGCCTGTTATTCCAGTTTAGATACTACAGTGGGGTCTGCCACCCTGTGCTGGATCCTTCTGGCAAAGTCTTTGTAATGGGGAAACTGCAAKGGTGGCCTCTGTGAGAAAATGCCAGGGGCTGCATCCATGTCAGACAGAGCCAAAGACAGCTGGCTCCAGGACACACTCACTGCCCAAAGCTAAGCCCATTAATGCTGCTGGTGGCACCTTGCTGATAAAATATTTAATAAAGGGTAAAAATCCTGCCCAGCAGCTGGAGAGAGGAGTAAGAATACATGAGAAGAAAAGCCCTGAAGACGTTGAGGTCAGTGCAGAGGACGGGCAGGAGGTGCTCCAGGCACCAGAGCAGAGATTCCCCTGCAGTCCCTGGTGCAGCCCATGGTGAGGCAGCTGTGCCCCTGCAGCCCACGGAGATCCACAGGGATGCAGAGACCTTTTGAGCCACTGCATCTGTTGTTAAACTGACCTGACAGAGACAGGAGTACAATGTCAGTCTCAAAGGCTGACTGATGCCCTTGGCAGCACYGAAGAATTCTTGATACTCAGTCTTTTATCAAAAAACTATCTTTAGTTTACAGATGTGGGARCAATTTATCTGTTTTTATCTCCGATGACATTGCAAAGGCCATTGCAGGAATGTTTTGAGCCCACACACACAGTGGCTGCTCCTCACCACCATCTAGGAAGGTTTMTGTTGCTGGAGAAGGTCAGCTGAGAACACAGCTCCTGGAGAGCCACCTTACAAATGGGCAGTAAATAACAAAATRCCTTCTGCCCCAGGGAAAGGGGGATTCACCTAAACCTGCACTTAGGAATCCACAATGTAAAAGTGTATGTGCAATGTCAATAAGACTACTCACTGCAAGCACTTCATTCTTTAATCTTGATGTTTTGGCTCTGTAATTACCTTTTAYTGCTCTGCTGATTTCTGATTATTTTGAGGACCTGCACTGTTTTAAAATATTTTGTCTTTTCTGTAACTCTCTGTTCTTTTTTGTCATAGGGTGGAGGACTTAAGTTATAAAAAAAATTAAAGACATTTCCTTTTGGTTTACATATTTGCAAAATCACAGTACCAATCTTTGYTCTGACTGGCCATCACATCTTCAGGTGCTGAGTCAAATGCTATCCTGCCTTCCAACAGCTTGATTAAAAGAAGAAAGGCCGTGTGACCCCACCCTTAGCTGCCACAGCTCACCAGCAGAGAAGTTACCAGGCTCACTGAGTTCAAACTCCAGCTTTCCAAAGTAACATAATTAAAAATCCATCCATCCTGGGCTTTCAAGCTGGTACTTTTCCTGACTGACTAGAAACCTGCAGGTTAACTGAAGAGAAAGGAAGCAGTGGGTGAAGTAAAAGAACYTCCCCTGGTGACAAAATGTTAATTAGCAGGGATGTTGGAGGCATCACTGGATGCACAGGAAAGTTCAGTGTATCAGCAGGTCTGCCCAAAASTACTCATTGGTCTGCACTCCAGCAGCACAAATTCAACTGCTGATTCTGATACCATCATTTTCATTTCAGATAATTCCTTATTCCTAGAGCTGGGGAAGTTTTCTGCAGGGAAAGGGACAAGAGAGGAGGGGAGGGAAGGTTCTCTGACCCACGAAGATTCATCAGTGGCAGAATTAAAAACTAATGAGAGAAAAGAGAGGGGAAATATAAAGCAAGATCAGTTCCTTGTTTGTTTTCTTGCTCCCCACCGTGAAGCTATAGAAATGCATCCAGTGTTCRCTTTCTCCCACAGGCAGTTAATCACTTGTGTGAAGAGTTTTCACTGCTTCCTGCTGGAATATCCCAGAACCACTGACCCAATGTCACTGTCTCTGATACCTCCTCTCCACACAGCCAAAAGGAACAATWAAAAATTCAGGAACAATTAAAAAAGCAATAGATATTATATATGTGCAATTTATGGTTCTGTAACTCATGTGATACTTCCATAAGCAACCTAGTTGGGGTGTAGACTGCTGGGGTGGAACTCAGACTGTTAGATGGAGAGGAAACAGAAGAAGGTGTGTGAAAGAGGAAGGCAGAATAAACAGTCCCTGTCAATAAGAGGGACTCAAATGGAGCAAGATTCAGCTCTGTAACTGCGAACTGTGAAGCTTCTCTACTATTTTTGCATCAGTCAGCTCAGGATCTCCTTCCCCACTTAGTTCCTCTTCATGCTTTTCTTCAAGATTCCTGTACAGTTYCAGGTATCTCTGATACTGCTCAGCCCTAAATTTCCACATATGCTGACAGCCTCATCATACAGCCAACATGGAGAAAATTGATATTATCACTAATTAACAGCTCTTCACTGGACACAGAACCTGGCAACAGCCCATTGCTCTTGCTTGTCGTTGCTGTCACTCTCATGAAGAAATCAGTCAACACCTCATGCTTAGAYAGTTCTGTGCCACCAGGAGTGGCAAAACATCCATGAGTTATCCATTCTTCTAAACAGGATCCTGACCACACAGCCCTTCATCCCTGCTATCTGCTTTCTGACATGTTCCTGCTGTCTGTGAGATACAATAACACAGTAAGACATCTTGGCTTCATTAACCCCTGCTGGGTGAGTGTCTAAGGACCTTTACAATTCTACCCAAGGGGTGACATCAGGGGGTTTCAGCTGAAAGCAACACTTCCCCTTTTACTTGCTCTAAGTGGCTCTTACAGAAGCAGGCCATGCCATTCCTCAGTAATTGAAGCCTGGAATAGCTCTTTTTTTCCCTGTTTGGCTGTGCTCATAATGCTGATATAGATATAGATATAGATATAGATATAGATATAGATACAGATACAGATACAGATACAGATATAGATATAGATATAGATATAGATATAGATATAGATATAGATATAGATATAGATATAGATATATACACACATATATATTATACTGCTGATACATGCTGATATACTGATAGTATGGACCCCACAGGACAACTCTCCCTGCTGACAACACCACTGACCCTTCAATGGACTGGGAGCAGCTCATCCTACTCTAAAATTACTCACAGGATACCCTTCATATTGCTGTCAGCAGAGGTTTCTTGCCTGGCCAGTCCCACTGGAGRAACAGGGAATGAAACAGGAGCTCACATCTGAGAGAGGCACAACAGCAGAAGTAGGTTCTGCTTCTGCTGGATGCTCCCACCCTCTCTGGTTCTCAGACCTCCTAAAGATGCACCTGGGCAGCTGGGAGCTGCACAGYTCCCTGGGATGATGCAGCCACACACAGTTTCGCTCCCATTCCCCTGCCCTCAGTACCAGACACAAGCAAAATGAAGTGAGGTCAGCAAGGGCCATGGCAGGTGGGTGGCAGCCGGAGCACATTTTGTGAGGAGGGGTTGACATACTTCACTTTGTCACCTACACTTAATGCATGTCCCAGAGCCAAGGGCAATGGCTCCCAGCGCAGGTACTTTCCTCGACCTCGGTGGGATGGTGAGGAGTGTAGGAAAGCAAGGAGGAAACAARTGAGGACTTCTCAGGGTGAGGGACCCTGAGACTGCTCCTTCTCAAGTTTTGCCTCAGCCCCTGAGAGGCTCCCAGCCCACGACTTCGCCTCCCACCTCTCTATCCCTTCAACATCCCCCTTGCAGCATTGTCAGGACCCTCCTCCAAACCACCATCTCCTTGGGGAATGGTCCCACTCTGCCCCACTTTCCTCCCCTTGCACCCACAAGTTTCCAGAGCCCTGCGAGTCCCCGAGCAGTGCACGCCCGRCGTGTCCCCGCCGAGGGCAGGCACCAGCAGCAGTACATAGCAACAACGAGCACTCCCAGGAGCTTTGCTGACACYCCCCAGGGACTCCCACCCACTCTCCAGGCCCATAAATTCCCGGGTGCCGACAGCTCCATGCGGCGAGGCACGGAGCGGGTTCCCCGCCATGCATTGGCTCCTCCCGGCCATCCTCTCCCTGCTGGGCCCCATCTGCCCTCAGGCCTCGGGGGCGCCGCCCTACGACTCCGTCCTCACCGTGCCCAACGGAGGGCCCTGGGGCTCCTGGGGACAAATGCAATTTTGCCCCAGCGGCTACGCAAAGGGATTTGAGTTGAAGGTAAGGTTTCACTTCTTTTTCAGCGTGGGGGAAAAGCTCTGCTGTGAGGCAATGTTTTGCTCTGATCGTTGTCAGGGCTGGCCGCCACACTTTGCCCCATCACAGCAGTTTGTGTTGTGTCCGCATCATGCAGGGTTCTCAGCAAGAAATCTCTGGTACAGAGTATCTCTCCAGTAAGGGATTTCTATGTAAAGGGGTTTACTGGGTAAGAAAATATGTGGGGTCAGTCYAGCAGAGCCTGTTCCAGGAGGTTGGGACAAGCGCCACCTGCCAGCACCCCAGCTCTAGGAACTACAGTGCATGGTGAGAGGGCATGGCCTGGGACAGCAGCCACCAAGCACTCTCCTGTGTCCAGAGCCCCTGCTCCACCTGCTTGGAGAAAAACAGAGCTGGCCAACAGCAGGCAGGGCTTCCTGAGAAATGCCAAAGAATTTGGCTTCCTGAGAAATGCCACAGAGCTGCCTCACAGCCCTGCTCAGCTGCACAAACGTGCTGGCTCTGTCCCCAAAGCTGCCTCCCCTCCCTCATCATGGCTCACCCCATCACCTCTTCTACAGGGGGACAATGCTGACCTCTCCCATTTTCTTCCCCTCTGCTCAGGTCCAGCCCTACCAGGGATTTTGGCTGTTTGGCGATGACACGGCTCTGAACGGCGTCCGCCTGCTCTGCACGGATGGCACGGTCATCGAGTCCTCCGTAGGGTGGTGAGCAGCCTTGGCTTCCTCACCCTCCTTCAGGGCAGCAGCTCTGGGGAGYACAAGGGGAAAACAGTGCAATAACCATTCCCCATAGGCACCCACACCCCCTGTGAARGTAGCTTGAGGAGGTGGGTGAGTTCCCTTTGGCCACACAGTGTGAAGGTTTCAGGGTAAAGATCTGGCCCCAGGGAAAGGAACAGTTCAGGAAAATGAGGGAATGTTCAACTATAACAGATCTAAAAGCTATACTTTCTCCTTTTCCTCAAATACTTGCTTTGGTAAAGTGCATTTAGTAACAGGGAAAAAACAAGCAGCTGAAATTGCCAAGGGGTTCTGCAGGGCAGCCTGGAGCTGGTGGTGGCTGCACATCCCGGGGATGATGGGGAATGAGAGTGGAACACGTATTCCTAGAAATCTGCCACCCCTGCATGGGTCCCTTGCCCCAGGAGTGCCAGCACCCCAGGCACATTGTGGTGTTGATTGCAGTACAGCAGAGGCTAGACAAGCCTTGGTAAGTTGTTTTTTTTCCCTCTGGCAGCTGGGGAAACTGGACCGAGGCCCAGGTGTGCCCCAGCAACAAGCTGGTTTCCTTCTCGCTGCGCGTGGAAAGGTGGCAGTACCTGAGTGACAACACAGCCGTCAACAATGTCAGGTTCACCTGCTCCAACGGGACGCAGCTCGAGGGCTGGGGACTCGCAGGGGGACACTACGGCCCATGGAGCGGCAACTGCACCTCTGGGGCCATCTGTGGGCTCCAAACAAAGGTTCAGCAACCCCAGAGAAAGTGGGATAACACAGCTCTCAATGACATGAGAGTGTTCTGYTGTCAGTAAGCCTGAGCCCCATCCCATGCCAGCATTCACAGAGCTGCACAGAATTAAACCTTCAATCTGTCCTCGCACCAGCAGCAGTGTACATTATTTTCTGTCTCATTTTGTCAAGGGTAGCCAGATCCCATGGCTACAGCACTTCATAAGAAGGGTCTTTGTGTTCGTTGTGGTTACGCTTTACAACAAATTTGAAACCTGCAAAATTGCTGAGGGTGTTCAGAGGATTCCCACACCTCTGAAGGCAGGAGGTGGGACCGTAAGGGCTGAGCAAGGAAGTAGAGGAGGGATCATCTGCCCTGGCAGAAACTGGTTTCTGGAGGAATGGGAACTCTCCATCCTACCTCCATTATCATTCTTAGGAGGGATCACTGTGCTACATTCATCCATCTATCCATCCACAAATAAGTTCAAATATACCACACAGCTTGTGGTCCCAGCTCCATGCCTCTCCTTCCAGCCTTCTCAACATCTTCAGGAGCCCCATGCAAAAGAGGCAGCCATGGATTTTTATTTCAAATACTGCAGTAATTCACAGATATTGCAGTCAGAAATGTGCCATTACATAGGTGCCTTCCCTGAACCCACCACCATCTCCTTCAGCATCCAAACCTCCTGCTCAGCTCCTATTTTGTCCCACTTTCTAGGGCAATACCTTGTGTGTGAGGACTCCGACCATGGCAAGGATGGGACAGGGACCAGCCACAAACCCAGGTCTCATGGGGCATTCTTCAGGAACAGGCTGGTTGGAGAGAATTATGGTGCACGTGTATGGGATGGGCTCGAGGAGGAAAGGAACAAACAGCAAGCATGAGGAAAGTTACAGAGAGAATTGCAAAGACTTCAGCATACACTTTCCTSAGCCCAAGAAGTGCACAGAGGAGGCAGAAATCTGAGAAAGGCATAGCAGGGAAGAATAAGAAGAATATTATCGATTCTGTAAAGTTCATRGGCTTTTCCCATACTCATGTATTTGAAATTGGTTTCAGTATTCTCTCTGACAAGTAATTCTGGCTTAGGAAGATTGTGARTGGTCCTCAGTAATACCTGTGAGCCGAGACTTTCTGTGCACACATTTGAACACACAGACGGTGTTATCTTTGCTTAATCYCTGCTGGGATTCCAGATGTTCCAGATGTTTCCAAAGTATTAACTGTACCATCATGTGCCCTTAAGCATTCAAAAGGCCTGCTTGCCTTTTGGAATGCAGCCAGGAAAARCCTTACAATAAGTATATTTACAAGCATATTTAACCCTTTCTGCCAAATTTTGAAAACTGGGGTTTAAAAGTCCAAGCAGTTATATTTTAATTGCCAGTTTGGCTGGTTTCCACATGCTTTTCTTATTTCATACCGGCACTGGCAAGCCCCACAGAGCCACCTATTATCTCAGGAGAGAGCCATATTTAAAATCAAAAGAGAAACACTGAATACATGATCTGGCAACAAGGTCACACATCCTCATGGATGATTTCCAATTTTAAGAGATGAAGGCACTCTGGAGGCCGCTCGATTTTTGTTACAGGAATCTCTCTCTACAATTAGATATAATAGAAAAATGCATAACTCAGCTTTTCTTCTGGAAAAAAGGTTCCCCTAGGGCACTCTGAAATACACTGAGAAAAAAAGATGGGATTTTTGTGATGAATGCCTCAAGGGTTTTTATGTTATCTTTGCATTATAATATCACTTTCATATCATTTCATTACTCACTTTTCATTATTCACTTAAGCAAGTTGCTGTACTCTAGACTTTATATGGCATTAAACATGAAAAAGTTTCTGTCCACAAGGAGGATTCTTCACAAGAAAACTAGCCTTAGAAATCATTTCATGATCTTCCCACTCAGGTCTTAGCCCTCCCCATTATAACAAAAATATTTGATTGGGCTTGAACCCAAATGCCAAGGCAGATCCTCTTGAATAATAMATATCCCAGTTTCTTGGCAGTGGAGATCTAACAGTGAAATGSTGGAAGAGATATCCCTGTGCATTACTCCTTCAAATTCATTATTTRACCAGTATCAGATTTTGTACAGATTTTGCACGTCACTACTCTGCAACAGCAAACCCCAGGGCTTGTCACAGCCCAGCACAAAGTGGAAAGGCTCTTGACAAGCACTCACTTCCTGTCCACTCACACCACCACAGGACCCCTCTTCTCTCAGGAAAACCTGAATGGAATACYGGATGGAAATCCAAGGGTTTTCAATAACCCTCCTTCTTCTTGTGCAATTACTCATCTTGGTGCACCCCAAGGGCTGGATGAGGTGGTCAATGCTGGGCTGGGAGCACAGCGTAGCACAGCTATCCAGCATCCCATCAGAGCAGGAGCTGCACTGAGCTCTTATCTGTTCAGAGCAAGTTTGCAAGGAGATAGAGCTCCTTTTGTCCTCAGCCTGTTCTCTCCAGGGCTCAGCATTGTTTCCCAATGTTACCACGAATTCTTCTACACTGAACGTTTTTGTGTTTGCTCTTCTTTCTGTGCTAGATGCAGGATAATGCCTGCTTTCCCTCAAACCTCCCTCCTCACTCAGAAAAGCCCTGTGGAGAATGGGAGCATTCCTGTGACAGCTGCCTAGGGCAGCATTCACATGTTATTGTTTGCACCTGAGAGGCCCTGTTCTACTGGAACGGCTTTGTCTCACTTTCACTGTCTGTTCTGGTGACAGATTTAATCCATAAAAACCACAGGGCTGCTGTGGCATTTGACATTGTGCAGCCAGGGAGCAGAAGGAAGGTCCATGTTCTAATCTTTGCTGCAACTTGAGCACACACATTAGCAGGCATCCTCTTCATGTGCTACGTGAGGTGRCAGTGCACTTAGAAGCTACAGGCCTGTCCCCTAGCTTTCACAACACCTGTGACACCCTTTACTGGAGTGAGAGAATAAATATGAGTAATGAAATAGAGCGGGATGAAAAACACCTCAGTAATCTTCCAAATCTTCCAAGTGTTTCTCCCAAGAGTACTGAAGGAAGACACAGAACGTTTTAATCTTCCCCATTCTTATTCCAAGGTTTGGTTCCCCTGATGCACTAGCAGCCTTTGGGCATCGCTATCACATCACATGGCTGAAACAATGAATACTAAAGATGGGAAATAGCAGTGTTCAGAGCTTTGAAAAATGTTTGTGTCAAATATCAGGACCTAACAGATATCACCTCTAGACAGTGAGCATTTCAAACTACCTCTACAACAGTGGTCAGCCCCAAAAGCATCCTGGAAAGTTTGTTTTCTCCTTAAAAGCTGCAAGGGTTGGACTCTAAATTACACTGTGGGTTGCAGCCTAGAAGCTCTCTGGTGCTTATCAGCATTCTCATCCTCTGAGACCACCACATTCCCTTCAGGAAAACTAAGAAGTTTGAACTTGGCTCCGCATTGAGCAAATGTCCCCAGAGTTCAGAACTCTTCCAAGCCAGCTTATTTCCTGTAGAACATCTTTAATAAGTACTTATTTATATTTTCCTTGAAGTAGAAATACTGTATCTGATTTTATCTGTTATTTTTTGTTTTAGTAGGAGATTTGGGTTTGCTTCCACAAGTGTCTTTGACCTGTAATAAAATCTGTACTGAAGTAATGACTAATTCTGAACAAGTAAGTAACAATTCCAGTTAAATCCAAGGGAGGGTACAAACAACTACATCCCTCTGACCTTTCTGTGCCCCTTTACAGAAATAATCATGTACTTTGAGCAACACAACAAAATTTCTGGTGCAGTGGTTCTGCAAGCTATACCAGAGTGCTGCCTATACCCACATAATTGGAAAGAAGGTTAATGAATTGCTAAAGGACATGCTTCCAGTGGATAATTCAGACAGAAAGCATATTTAGGTGGCCTAACAGTTTATTAAATGAGATTATAATAGATACTTTGCTCTTTGGCAAGTGTCACTTCAAGATAAATTGATGTAACACTTTACCTCTGCAAATTCCATTAGTAAAAAAGGACTGTAACCTCTACTGATGCAAACCAGTGGCAAGCATAATTTCTTTTGAAATGACTGTTTTTCTCTTTTTTTTCTTTTCTATCCCTTGTTATTTTATATCTTCTCTTTGATTTTCTAGCAAAAATAGCATTTAGCCTCAGCCCTGACTTCGGATAGATGCTTTCTCATACTTCCTGCTGTATTGGAGATTTCTTTCTTTTGCTCAGCTTCAGCACAGGGACATTTCCACGGAGAGCAGCTGCCTTCCTTGTGCACGATTCAGCAGCTGATGCAGGAATACCCAGATTGTTGCAGAGCTTTCAGATGCTGCTGAAGGAAGGAGGAGTGGAGGGACACCACAGCATCCACACCCGTTTGCCAATCCCTAAAGCAGATTCCCTTGGATGTCCATGAAGAAGCCAATCCCCTGCMAAGGTCTGAAGGGGGCCTTGCTGAAGAAGAGGAAAGCACACATTTCCAGGGATGTTATACCCTCACTGGTGTGCACGTGGGCCAGCTCCAGCACTGCTGCCTTTCACAGCCACCTGCACCTTTCACAACCATTTCAGTACCGCACTTCTTACCCAAAACATTTTAGCAAAGGAAGGGAGAGTTCTTCTGCCTGAGCTATGTTGTCTATGCATCTGATTTTTCAGAGGAGGTTTCTTCTTAGTGTGTGAAGGGATAAGGACATCTTTTGAAAACTTCCCAGTACCAGCCTGCAATGGTGATACTGTGGGTAACACTCTTGGGGGAGCATCTTAATAGTAGGAAAAAGCATCACCTCTCATTCTTCTCCTCTATGGAATTATATTTAACTGTATTTTTAAAAAATAGAAACTTGATTGTATGAAGAAAGCAGACAGCRCCATTTGCTGGTTTTCACTGTGCTTCCAAGTCCCAAACATGTGGAAGTAACACCTGRTTTTACATGAACAAGACACAGAGGTGCAATAATATCATCATCTTGCTAATAGCTGTGTCATGCTTGCAGTTGTGCTACATCTACCAAAGTCTCATTATGTAGRTATTTTTTCCAGTTTATCACAAAGGCTTGTCAAAAAACAACTACTATCTA